TGATAGGAGTCTTCATGGCTACTTTAGCTCTTCCTTTGGTCTTAGATAAGAATAACTATTAAACCCCTATCTCTTATGCAGTTCCATGGATGCCTTCTCTTGTCTCATTAACCTCCTTGCTAGCCACTCTCCGTTTCAGGGCCTCTCTTCTGGTAACCTTAATATATCTCACCTTTTGTATGTTGATGACCTATGAATTTTTAGGAGAGCCTCCTCTCAAAATTGCTATTCTCTCTCCTCCATCTTTCAGAATTTTGCTAGCTACTTTGGCCTGCATATCAATCATGCTAAAAGCTCTTTAATCCTTGCCCCTAACACTCTCTACTCTACTACTATATGTGGCATTCTTTAAATCCATAACCATTACACCAACACAACTTACCTTGGTCTTCCTATATCCATTAAGAGATCTAGGATTACTGATCTCCAGCCTCTCATTAATATTATTACAAACAAAATTGTTGGTTGAAAGCCAGGTTTTTATCTATTGTAAGTAAAGTTCAATTTCTAAAGTTCACTATTTAGAATATTATAGCTTATTGGATTCATGGGGCTATTATACCTAAAATATGTTGCAAAATTATTGGGAAACTATGTTATAAATTCCCACACTTTGGAGATGCCACTGTTAAAAAACTTTACTTGATCTCATGGATAAATACTAATAATCTAAAGAATTATGGGGGTATTGGTCTCCCTGTTATCAATGCTCTTTGTTTTACTTACAACTATTCTGTTATTAATAATTTTTCTAGTGTCCTTCTCTACTGACCTGTTGGCTTAGAGAAAAATATATTTCCCTATGCAAGCCTCCTCCCATTAAGGCCTTAAAGCTCTGGAAGAACATATGTGTTATAGCTTCTTTAGTGAATAATAAAATTAAATTCAATATTACTGTTGATTGTCCAATGTCTTTGCTTTGGGATCCCTTGTTTGATGACTTACCTTTAAATGCTCAACCTGGCTCCTTTTCATTGAATACTTCTTTTCCCCCAACGCTCCTTTTTCAATTCTCCTCTCTGGCATACCTGAAACCTCTCTGCTCACAATATGTTAGCTTCTAACATATTTGCTATCCCCATTCATGATTCCACTCATTTTTTTCCTTATTTTATTTTTGCATGGAAATAAGAATGAGAATTTTCATAGTGTTGGAATATTATTTTGATTTCGATATTTGCTATTGGTTTCATTTTGTGAGGCACAAGCACTTTGCCCTAAGGTATTCTTCTTACGTTTGGATGGCAATGTTGGGGGGACATAAACTACTGGAGTTTTAAGATTGAGGAACATTCCTGATGAAAAAAAATTGCCCATTATGCATTCAATCGGATGAATCTATTTCACATTTATTCTTTGAATATGATTATTCTTTTAATGTGCTTGCTAAGATACTGCCTACCCTCTCTAGGTTTTTGTTAAGTGTACTGCCCCAAACACTAAATTTAAAAGAATTATCTATTTATCATTTTAAAATTATACTAAAGCTTCTATAAATTATGAATATAAAAAATAACCAGTGAAAGCAACTAAAATTATATAAATCAAGATATTTTTACTATTTATTCACCCAAAATATCATTTACACTAATAGGATATCACTACAATCACGAATCTATAAAAAACTCCTAACTACAAAAGAATAAATGAAAATACATAACAAAATTTTAAAAAATTTGAGGGTCTCTCACAATCTCACTCCAACTGGTCCTAACTTGAAATCATTTAAAATCCACATAATTAGCTCAAAAGCCTAGTAATAATCCAAAATTTAATGCCAGGATTAAAGAATCAATATGATATGCTCAGTCTAATATAATTAATAGTAATCAATATAGTTAATGACTAAATATTACTAATAAAACTCAAAATGATCAATAATAAAAGCATATAATCATTATAATGAACCCAAAAATTAATAATTGGTATAAAATTTAATAAATTGGTAAAATAACTGTACAAAAATCATTAAAGGAATCTAACTTATCTATTCATATACATCATCTACTTATGTATTATCAATGCATCCAATATGGCCAAGGATATTAATATATATATGTTAATGTCATCATAACTATCAATATATGCATGCATTAATGCATAATTTAGCAATGTAGGACATCTAGCTTTAATGTGGTGTTTTCAACATCTTTTATCCCAACTGATTCCTATTTGGTCATTAGTTATATCAATTATCACTTATCCAATTAATCAATTATCATTACAGGTGGCTTCATTAAATCAATAAAGAGTCTTCACTCTCTTCTTGTCGGCATAATCAGTTATTTGTTACATGCTACAACCGGGATAACACCACAAATTATCTTTAAAGGAAAGTCTGATGGCTCACCCTCTTACACAGTGTATTATGTTTTAACAACTAATCCATTTTATAGTGTTAGTAGCTAGCCTTTCTTGTTTATGCAAATATCATAATCAAAATGCATCATGAAATAATCAATTCTATTTAACATGATTAAATCTATATAATAATCAAATCATTGAAAACTAAAATGAGATTTGAGTTCCTTATAACAAATACAAGAAATCTCCGAACAAAATTGATAAATAAAAAATCTCTGAACAACATTCTCTCTCTTCTTCGACAAGGCATAGCGCTGAAATTCATATTTTTATTAAAAAATATAAAAAAAATTCATATTTTTACATTAAGGCCTAATATTATCTAGATGTTTTCTTACACGAGAAATGCCATCTCTAGAGGTTTCAAGGAATTCTCATTCGCTGTGATTTGCTGCACAATTTAACACTTAACGGCGTGAAAGGAACAATAGGAAAGTTTGCCTAAATTTTTCTCGTATTAACACTCTTTGCCATATCATTAAGAAGATGTGTTGTTTAAAGCCTCAGAGGGGAAGTCTTGGAAATTCATTAAAGTTGTTGTTCAATTTTAATTCTATTGTTGCTCCAACTAGATATGTTGTTCAGTCTCTGTTATTTTTCTCTGGGTATTATTATTATTCTTCCAGCTCTTCGAGCTGTTATTTTTTTGATCGAATCTGTTGTCTGCTGGTGTGCCGATATTTGCTATATGATGTTTATCAAATTTTGATATTGTAGGAATTTTTTCTAGCCTTCGAACATGATGATATTCCCTTATCTCCATACCTTTTCCCTTTGGATGATCCTAGTGGCAACCATGGGAATTGCTCCTTGAAGAAGCTAAACACTTACACTCTTTTATCTGAATCCAAGCTTATGGAGCTCCTTTTTTGTTTATATCATTTGAGACGTTATACTTTTTCTTCATTTACCTGACAACAACACTTTATTCTGTTGAGATAGCGGATTTCTATTTTTATGATGTACTATACTTTCTTAATCGAGCCTAGCCGCTTATGAAGTTTCTCTTCCTTCTTTTTCTCATTATTGTTGCGTCCTGAAGTATTCGCGACGGTAGAGAAATATATAGTTTAACGTCTTAGCATTGTACGAAGATCCAGCACACAATCAGATAAGTGAGAGGGTGTAGCATTCATAAGAGACACCAGAGTTTTTATGTGAAAAACCCCTGAAAAGGGGGAAAAACTATGGGGTCTGGCCCATTTTGAATGAATCCACTAGTATTTGTAGTCGATTACAAATGAGGCCTTCTTAGGGAGAAGGCCTTGGCTTAATGTCACAAATGTACATCATATAGAGTGTATTACATGTGGGAGTTACAATATATGTATTTATTTTGTCAACATGACCATAGTCGATAGGAAGGAGGTCGGAAAGACCGTTGTCTGGTGATGGAGGACGGAAGGACCATAGTAGGTGATGGAGGTCGGGAGGACTGTAGTCGGCAGGAGACCGGGGTCTGAGTGATCGTTGTCTGTTGATGGAGGTCGGAAGGACCATAGTAGGCGATGGAGGTCGGTAGGACCGTAGTCGGCAGGAGACCGGGATTTGAAAGATCGTTGTAGTAGGGTGATACTTTTATAGAACTCTAGGCATTAGGTAGTGGCCCAGTAGAAGTCTGGGCATCAGGTGGTGTCTTGGTTGAGCACAGGGTCTCAAGTGGCTGTTCGGCGGAGCGACGACGTGAGGTGGTGGTCCGATGGAGGTGAAGGCCTTCGGTGGTGGTCCGACGAAGGTGAGGGCCTCTGTCAAAGGTGAGGGCCTCTGGCAAAGATGAGGGCCTTTGGTGAATGTGAGGGCCTCTAACAAAGGTGAGGGCCTCTGGCAAAGGTGAGGGCCTCAGGTGCTGGTGAGGGCCTTTGGCAAAGGTGAGAGCCTTTGGTGAAGGTGAGGGTCTCTAGCAAAGGTAAGGGCCTTTAGTGAAGGTGAGGGCCTCTGGCGAAGCTGAGGGCCTCATGTGGTGGTCCGACGAGGCTCCAGCGGTGGTCCGGCGAGGCTCCGGCTGTGGTACGGCGAGGCGCCGGCTGTGGTCCGGCGTGGCTCTGACGGTGGTCCGGCGAGGCTCCTGCGGTGGTCCAGCGGTGGTCGAGGAGGAGCTTCTTCCTTCTCTTCCTTCTCTTCTCCTCTTCTCTTCTTGCTTGGGTCCCCATTCAAGAGAAATGAGCATTTTAAAATTTTATATGTTTAAGAAAAAATTTAGTCAAAAAAATCAAACATATAAATCATTTCTTAATATATAAAAATAATATACAAACTTTAGGTAGAGGAGAGAGGCGACAGAACTTTTATCTCTCTCCAGCTTTTTTTTCTCTGCAATCTTTCTTTCTCTCTCTTATCATTCTACTTTTTCTCTTTCTACTCAAACACGCCAAACAAAATGGCGTATTTAGAATACGCGCAAAACTATGACGTATTTTGAATGCGCTAATTATGTTAGCGAATTTGCTTCTTTTTAAATTATTAACTAAGTTTGCTCTTTTTGTTAATTATTATTATTAGCATGCTCCTCCCTAAAATTACCCCTTGTGTATTACTATGTACCGGATGACGTGACACGCTCTCATTTTTCTCTAAAAGATCTGATATGCGCAGAGAATAATTTCTTTCCATTGACTTTAATACAGCCCTACATATATCGCTGCCGTCGATCTTCCGTTCCGCAGGTTCAAATCCTCACCGCTGTTCCAGCTAACGCCTCTCCTTTCAGAGAGCATTAAGGGGAGACGCAAGAGTCAGGAGCTCGGATCTTAAATCATGGAATCTTCTCTGCTCGCGGTACTGTCTCGAGCCGTAAATTTGTTGTTGATTGCTTTTTTCAGCTGTCGATGCGGTCAACTAAAGTTATATCTCTCTTTATCCTTTTGTTTTGTGTTGATAACGTGATTAGGGTTTTACCAAGTCGCTGGCCATGACGGTGTTGTCTGAGATCGGAGACAAGACGTTCTTTGCCGCTGCGGTGGGTGAGCTCGTGCCTCCTCTGTTTGTTTTAATCTAAACTAGATTGATTGGGTTGGTTTTTGTTTGAATGATCTATGAAAATTGTTATGCTTAAATCTGTTTGATCTTGCATCGATAAAAGATGTGGTTCTTTCTTTTTTTTTTCTTGCAACTAGATATCGGTTTCTAGTGGGCAACTGTTATTGTGCAATGCTTCAATGCTACCTTTGTCTGTATGGTAGTAGATTTATCTAGAAAGTTATTGTATTGTCATTTTTGAGTTTTTTCTATAGATTTTAGTTTGGATCTGTTCTTTTTTTGCAATTAGATAAGAATCCTCACCTTTGACCTTAACATTATATGCTTATGATTAGTGACTATTGACCTCTATTTTCACTTTTGGGTTTTTCTTTCTGTTGGCAAATATTTTGTTCTCTCGTTTGGCGGGTTTAGTTGGCTCGCATGGTCGACTTCTTCCATTGTCGATGAGTTGAATTTGACTCGGACATAGCCCTCCATATCCTCCAAATTAGTTTGATGGGATATTAGTCAAACTAATTTGGTTCCCTTTGGCCTTCTGCTCCTAACTCAACATCCTAAAGTTGTCAGTTTTAGGTCTCATCTTTTTTAATCCTTGTCGACAACTTGAAATGTTAAAGCTGCCAGCTCAATTTCTTTAGGTCAAAACTTTGCTGATCCCTCAACATACTAGCGTTGTTGATTTGTCTTCTGTCCAAACAGCTTGACCCCTTCCGATCGACATTTTTGGCCCTCTTGGTTATCTGTTAATACCTCAAAATTCTAGAGCTGTTGTGTTAGTGCCCTCTCCCCAACAAAGTCATCATCTTGGCGTTGCTAACAACTCGATATCATAGTGTTGTTAGCACAACTTGTTCATAGTAGCTTAGGTCTACCTCAAGTATGTTTATGCCTCCCTCCAGTCGGTTCCTTCTCTACACTTCTGGGCTTGGTCATTCCTTTCAAGCTTTAATCTTCCTTTGCCTGACTTTGAGTTCCTCTTAACATCCTAAAATTATCATCTTGTTGCTTTCTTCTAAGTCTGACATTGATCTCTTCGCAGTTCTTACTTACAGCTTGACGTTCTAGAGCTTTCAGCTTGCTGTTTTTTTTTTTTTTTTTGAAAAAGTTGCTAGCATCCTTCTTGGTGGCGTAGACTTCCTCATGGCGCATGTACATAGCTAGACATCATAGAGATGTTGGCTTGCCAAATTCCCTCCCAGCCAACTGTTTATTTCTCCTTGCCTTCTTGACAAGTCTAGACTTCTTTCTTTGCAACCATCCTTCTTGGCAAATTGCTGACATATTTCCTACCTTCTTACCCTCTATGCAAGTCAACAACATCTTCTCTGTAACTCGACCTAGTTGATATTAATGACTTTGATTCTTCTTGACTAATTGACACCCTTATTGAAAACTCGACACTTTTCCTCTCCGCTTTTCTTGACAACATGACACTCTGGTGTTATTGGCTCGACGTCAAATTTCTCTTCGCTTTTCCACCTTCTCGCCTTTTTGACATGTCGGTGACATCTGCTCATCCTTACCAATAATTTAATACTTTAGAGTTGTCTACTAGACATTGAAGTTGACGGTGTCGAATTCCTCCTTGTAACTAGCTCAACATCCTTGAGCTGACTACTCAATTTCCTTGACTAACAACATGAAAAATGCCATGACTTGTTACCTTCCCCATGAGACATGTCTCATCACCTCATTGACGGTGCCAGCTGATCACCCAATGGTTTTCCTTCTCATGTAAAGTTCACCGTTGACTCAAGTCTCACCTTGTAGTAAACTCTTTTTTTTATTTTGAAATGTCTTTAGACAACTCTTTAGGGTTCCGAGTATTTGCACCATCATGTGCCACGTGCCAACATGATTTGAGTCTTTCTCTATCTTGGAACAGTGATAAAATTTTAATGACTTTATCTTGGATCCTTACCCTAACCATTTTGTTGCCTAAGAATGAAAATATTTTCTTAGCAATTGTGATCCCTCCTTGAGATTCTGACTCCCTCCTAGGGATTTTGCTGCCCACTCCTTATTGTTTGTCATGCTTTTTAAAAGTGTCAATAAGCAATTTGCCAGAGATTCTGAGATCTTGAGCTTTCAGTCTTCTTAGTGTTATTCTTCTAACATAACTACTCCTACTTGCTGCACCCCTTGGCTTTGCACTAGAGCTAGTAAGACATCTTTTAGTCTGACTCTCAGTAGCTTCTGAGCACTCTCCCTCTTGTATTTAGTATAAACCACTAACTTGAACAATAGAAGCATCAACCCTTTGACATCTTTAAACTCATACTTGTGAAACACATGATCTCTTGACACCTACCCACTCTTCTCTCGAGTGTGTGTTTCAAGCCTTCCTTTGTCTTCTCAAGAGCTTCACTTGGATGGCCCTTCCTTAGCAACTATTTCAAGCCTTCTCTCGAGAGTGCGGCTTGGGCCTTCCTTTGATCAGCTACTTCTTAGTATCCCTAACTCTGAGATTGGCATCGCTTCCCTTTAGCTCAAAGTGGATAGCTTGACATCTTAAGGTTGTCGGCTTAATGCCATTTCCTAGCGAACTCGCCTACTTGATCATTATCAATAATTTATTATCTGAGAATTGTTGACTCAACCCTTCATTTACAACATTTTACTTCTTGGCCCGAAGCAAGCTTCCTCGCGACACTCACTGACAACTTAATATCCTAGAACTGTTAACTTGCTTATTTTCTTCTTGGCTTGGCATTGACTTCCTCTTGGCACTCACCAATAGATCGACATCTTAGAGTTGTTGGCTTGTAGACTTATTCTTGGCAAAGTTGTCGACATTCTTCTTGGTATAGCTTTTAGAGCTATGTATAGACTTTTCCTTGCTGAACTGAACCAGTTTGGTTCATTTGTTGAACCGATCGGTCTAAAACTAAATACAAAATAAAAACATCTATTTAATAATACATAGGCCTGCTTAAAAAGAAACAGTGGTTTAAATAATGCTGAATCAGACCCCACTAAAAACTAGCAGAGTTATAATGGGGGCCTAGGGGCACATGCCCCCACTGGCCCATTCTTGAAAAAGCCCACTAGAATTTATCACCCACTGGCCCATTCATGAAAAAGCCCACTAGAGTTTATTTTAAAAATTTTATTTCACTTATAAAGAAAAAGAAAGTTGGATTTTAACCCAAAACCACTTGTTCGCATGCCAACAAGTTATCTGTGGGGCTACACTGCTACAGAGCAGGTTTTGTTCAGGGATAACCATTTTTACTTAAATTATAATTAAATGCTATAAAAATAAAAAAAAATCTTTCATGTAAATATTTTACGGGACATAAATTTGTAATCTCTGTTTAAAATTGCCCAATAAGAGGCACGCCTCTGAGCAATTTGACCAAAAACCGCCTCAAGGCTTACGCAATTCCTCTCCTGGCAGAGGCGTACGCCTCACTTGGACTGAGGCACGCCTCAGAGGCGCAATTGCGCAATTCTAGCTGAGGCGTACGCCTCAAATATATGCTCAAAACCGCTCAGTACATGCTCGGTACCGCTCAGTATATGCTATTCATCATCTTTAGTAATAGTTGTTAGTGTTAGTCTACTTCTTCATGAGTGCATGTTTTGATTGGAAGACATTGGACTTTATAGGAGGGAGGAAGGGGTGAGAAGATTCCCTTGAAGACCCATTTAGTGATGGGACATGATTAGATTATATATGTTCTTTCTTAATTATACTTTGGGAGTTTGATAGACTAATATATTGTGGTTTTGTACTTTGGGACATGATTTTATTGCATCTATTTTCTTACTTTCTCCTAATTTTAATTGTCATTTAGATGTTTTTATTGTATGATAGAATCTTACTATTTTTTACTTGCTAAAACCCTTAAATTCTCATTTACGCAATTCTTCGTCGGTGAGCGCCTCACACCGCCTCGAGACTTACGCCTCGCCTCACGGACGAAAAACGACTCGAGGCTTATTTATGCAATTTTAAACCTTGTTTGTAATTAATAACTTTATTCTGAAATGTCATTTTTAGAAAAAATCAGAAAATTGCAACATAAAAATCCTATATATATATATATATATATAAAGACAAGTTATATGTTTGTTATACAACAACAACATCAAGCCTTTATACCATTATGCCGGGTCGGCTACATGAATTTTTTTTTTTCATTGTGTCCTGTTAAACATCAAATCTTCATTTAAATTTAATAAAAATTATTATTTCTAATATTTTCTAGCAAAGTTTTTTAGGCCAACCTTCACTTTTTTTAACATAGGCCAACTCCAATACATCTACTCTCCTAACCGAGTCATCGGAAGGCTGATATTTTTTCTAAACCATCTAAGACGACTCTCTCTATTCTTATATGCCATTGGAGCTATTTTAACCCTTTCACGTACATACATGTTTCGATTTTGTCTCTAAGAGTGAGGCCACTCCACTCATCCACCTGAGCATTCTCATCTCTATAATACTTAGCTTAATTTTATGCTTCTTTTTTAATGGCCAACATTTTTGCGTCAGAAAGCATTGCATGTATTACGATTATCTTATAGAAATTTTCTTTAAGTTTGAGGGGTACTTTTCTATCATACAACTGGTTGGATATATACCTCCACTTCAACCATCCTACTTGAATTCTACTAATAATATCCCCATCTATTTCACCATCACTTTGAACAATAGATCGAAGATAACTAAAATGTGTACTCTTATTAATAACATCATCGCCCAAATTGACAATCCTCCCACTAGATCTATTACTATTAAAATTACACTCCATATATTCGGTTTTAGATCTACTCAAACGAAAACCTTTAGACTATAAACTTGACCTCCATAATTCAAGTTTCTTTTAACTCCCTCTATAATCTTACCAACAAGAAGAATATCATCAGCAGAAAGCATACACTAGGAACATCCTTTTGTTAATGTCTAATAAGAACATGCATGACTAAAGCAAAAAGATATGGGCTTAAAGTTGATCCTTGATTTAATCCAACTAAAATATAAAAATACTTGGTCAAACCACCTTGTGTTTGAACACAAGTAACAAAACCTACATACATATCTTTAATAACTTGAATATAAGCATTATTAACTACTTTCTTTTCTAGAACTTTCCATAGCACTTCTCTTGAAACTTTATCATATGCTTTCTCTATATCAATAAATATCATATGCAAATCCTCCTTATTCTCTTTATACTACTCCATCAAACTTCTCAATAAATGTATAGCTTCCATAGTAGACCTATCCAGAATGAATCCATATTAATTTTGAGAAACTTTAGTATCACGTTGTAACCCATACGGCCATACTCAATAACTCTCTCCGACAATTTTATAGTATGACACATTAACTTAATTCATCTATAATTTGTACACTCTTGTGCATCACCTTTATTCATAAAAATAGGAATCAACACACTTCTTCTCCACTCATCTGACATCCTTAATTACATTGAAAAGTTTTGTAAGCCAAAAAATTTATTTATCTCCTAAGCATTTTCACACCCCTATTGGAATATCATCAGGTCCAATCGTTTTTTCACATTTCATTTTCTTTAAGACCTCTCTAACTTCGGTTTTATTAATACAACGATAAAAATAAAAATCTCTATTTTTATTTAGGGTGCTAAGTCACCAAAGTCAATCATGGTGACGGGTCCAAAGATGATGGAAATTGGTGAACAAGAATTGGTGCCTGGAGCAAGACCTGAAGGAGAAAAAAAAGGAGGAATATGTATTTGAAAACATAAAATTAGTAATAAGAATCAAATGAATGGAGAATCTGATGCAGTCTTGAAAAGAAAAGGATAAAAATTGCAAGAGGTGGAAGACCAGCTGATGACAAGGATATTCTTGAATGTGAAAAACTGCAGCTCTTTGGTCTGGAAAACTGCAGGTCTTGTAATAAAACTGCAGTTCTTGAATCTTGAGGCAAACCACGCCGGAAACCAAGTTGAGAAAGACAGATTATTGTTGAAAATCAATTGAGCGACAGTTCCGTTGGCATGAGGAATGAATAGCGGCTGATGATGCAGGAAAAAAATCCAAAACTCAAGCAGAAAAGGGCAGCTGGACGAGTGGTAAAGGAAACAGCAGGAAGGCATGAAACAGATGCCTGCAAGAAAGCTAGCAGATCGCTGGGATGTTTTGCGGACTGATGGGACAATTTGATTTGCGGAGTATGGGCAGCCAGCTAAGATGAGTGGTAAGGAATGGAGGAAAGATTGGAACGTGAGCACCAATTTGTTGTGCTTCTTGATGGCTCAAGAAAGGAAGAACATATTTTTGAGTAGGTGTAAACTCCAACAAGAGAAGGGAGGGGAAGGAATGAAATTCCATAAAAAAAAATAATTACGGCAGATTTACGAGCTATTTATAGACTTTTCCTACCTAAACTCAACAGATTGGGTTCATTTATTGAACCGGTTGGTCTAAAACTAAACACAATATAAACATATCTAATTATTAATACGCAGGCTTGCTTAAAAAGAAACATGTGGTTTAAATAATGCTGAACAGGACCCCAAAAAACCTTTGAACTTGGTGCATATCCCTGAAGCATTGTATTTGGCTTTCTTCCTCTTCGACATTCAACCTCATGTGCATATTGTTGTCTTTAAGTACTTCTAAGCGTTTAGTCCAATCTTTACATTGTTCATGCACAGTACTTGTTTCTAGTTGAACATGTTGTTGCTTAACAGATACCTTGTTTGAAATTGATAGCATTGATCAAATTAATTGTAGGTTGAACTTTTGAGATTGCTAAGATTATCTCGGTAGATAATTCTCAGCTAGATCAAGCGTTCCTCGGCTTTTCTTTCTCTTCAAAATTTGGGATTGAAGAGATTGATAGGACTCTTGTTTGTCTAATTATACAGTTATTCATCCTTGTTTGATTTTAATATCTATCGTGAAGCTTTCCTAAGGTAATGTTTTGAATGAGACTTTTGTTCCTTAAGTCTCTGCTTCATAACAATTCAACCGTATGTTTATTTATTTATTTATGTTTTTTGTGAGTAGATTCTCTTAACCCAGCACGTATATTATGTGGAGATTTTGCAACTGTCCGTATAGCATTTATATATTTAGAGTTCCTATTGCTTACTGCAGTGTACAAAATTTTCTTCTATGAGCAAATCATGATATTGGATTATCTGATATCTTAGATATTGGCTATGCGTCATCCCCGTAGGCTTGTCTTAGGAGGTTGCTTGACAGCACTGATTGTAAGTCGTATTTCACTTTTATCCCTCAATCATGTTAATTTTTGTGGGAGTTTGAGAGAAATATTTCTTTTTACTTGTTTGATTCACAGGTGATGACAATCTTATCAGTTCTTTTTGGTTGGGCTGCCCCTAACCTGGTAAGCAGATTGCTCCTGTTGAAGTTCTGCACTTCTATTTTTATTAACATATTGTTGCTAATCTTGATTTTTTATATTATTTATTAGGAAATGCATTTTATATTCGTTTTGAACCACACAGAGCTGTTCCGAATGTTTTTCAACTTCTAAAAAGAATTATCCTGAATCCTACCATGAGTTTCACTTTGGTCAATTTACCCTTAGCTATAGCAGGTTTTATTTCTGTTGACCTCACTGTCCGCTTGACCGTGCTGAATGGGATTCTTAGCCTCCAATCTCCTGCGGTGCTTTCTTCTGCGTCTTGCATTCATTTGTTGGGTTTGGTGAGGAAGAGTTAACATGCATGCAATACATCTTGATTTCTGCTAGCCCACTTGCAAGGAAAAAAAAAAATCCTGCCATCTTACCTGATAAACAAAAATATATTGCTAATGTTTGATTGAATTGCTTAATAATGTATATTATATTATAAGGCTTTTATAATTTTTTGTTTTCCAGTAAGTATTTGTGTATACCCTCCTGCCCCTTTTTGGACCAAGATGGGTGCATACATCTAGCGCTATCCCAAGAATTGAGTGCTTGAACCATTCCTATTAAGATTTATACTTGATAGACGGGCACATATAACTTGTTTCATAATATTGATGTAATCTAGCTGCAGGCTACTTGGGAGTAATTTTGATTTGAAGATGATGTACCGTTCCTTTTAATCTGACTATATGTTTCTTAACTTATAGTTGCTTACATACATGAGCTGCTACTGTTCTGTAATTATGTAATCCTAATGACAAATATTGCCACTATTACTTATTATTATTGAATGACTAATTTTAGATGCGGGATCCTATTGGTAAAAAATTGACCTTTTAGGTTTCATGATATTTTGTTGTTACATCATAATCCCGAAAAAGTTCTACATTTTACTAAATCAGGTTTATGTCTATAATTTTTTTTTCTTATATCTCATTCTTTAGTAAATATATCCAATGTGATTTGACCTATCAGATCTTAGCATCACTTGATCTTCTAGCATTACTAATTGATAATTATTAATTTCATATCCTCTAAAATTGCACATCACAAAATATTTCATCGTCTAGAAATTGCACAAAACAAAAGATCTCTATGACCAATTCAAACAAATATTGATTTAAGTTGATACTTAATATAATAGTATTGTGACTGAAAATTCCATCTCTTTCTTAGCAACTTACTTTTAATGCTTCATTGATTATTTAAGAAAAGTTTACCCTTCAACCTCTGTGATGTAAAAAAAAAGTAACTACTCGGGAATAGTTTTCTCAAGGTACATTTTAATTAGTTATTTCCTGATATCTAGACAATGTTTTATTTAGATTTGGGCCAAAACTTGCTTTGGCTGTAAGCTTTTAAAATTAATTACCCTCCAGTTTGTGGATGAGCACTCTCACTTAAGGACAAAGGGAGGATTTAGGAGGCATGTAGGAGCACGGACCCCCTCATGCCCTCACCCCAAAAAATAATTAATTTATGTGCTAGTACAATTTTTTTTGAGGTTGTTTAGGTTTAAATTTGAATTTTAACAATAAATATAGTTGAGTGGAGAATGGTTGCAGTGATTAAGGTGGATACGACTAAGGTCTCATGTATATCAATGGGCCCAATTTGCCAATGATTGAAAGTTTTGAATCGTAATGTCTAAGGAGCTTGATTAGCAACTATGGTTGTGATGGGGACAGCTCGTTTTTCCGTTCTTAATGTTTTATCTCGTCGTTCAAATTATTATAAAGATATAATTATTTGTTCTATCTAAAATTAAGCGTGCAAGCTTTCATTACGAAACCCATCATCGCATGTACGTTTCACATCAGGTTGACCTTATCTTACGCATTCCAACCAAATCATGTTGGAAACATATAATAATTTTCATATTGTGTTCATTGATCTATGGTGTAATTAGGATGAATGTGGCAATAAAATGTTGCAATTTATTGTTACTTTCATATGTCATATCTTCATGTTAGAGAGGTGTGAATGACAAGGAGATGAAACTTGCCTAGATATACCATTGGCTGAATTCATTTTTTAAATTAAAAATTTAAGCCTATGGGTAAGGGGCAACTATTTGGTATTTATACTGCAATATTTTTACTTTTCCTGTGTGAGACTATCCTAGTACCTTCACATACTTTAATAATCTGCCTTTCACTTGAAAACTCTTTATGGTAGCCATCACTCCCCTCAAATAGAGGCAGTTTCAACAGTACGAATTTTATGCATCAAATGCCTACACAATAATATGGTTCAAAGCACATGAATCACTAGATGTAGTCTAACTTTCAACTTTTGATACCAGTTGTTAAGGAGGTATGAATCAAAGGGAGACCACACATAGCAAATATACCTTTAATCAAACCTTTTTTCAACTCAAAAGGGTAAGCCTATGGGTCCTTTTGGTTTTTCTGTACCAACATTTTTTACCCATTTGCTGTGGGACTTCATGATACTCTCATGTGTCATAACATAACATTTGCAACTATGGGCAAAATAATGTCCTAGAACATTGATTTGGGAGGATTACCAAGAAGTTATGGATGTTGTAGAGTGTTTTTTATGTTGTAAATGTTTTCGAGTTTATTGATATTTTCCTTAGTATTTGTAACTAATGATCTTTATGAAAACAATACAATAGATTCAAGTGGGAGATCGAAGAATACACCTACTATTTATGTTTTTCCCCCTAGTTGCTCCTCAAATTGCTACCCTCTATTTAGTTAATAATTGATGGCTCCATCATCTCATGTTTGACATCAAAATGCGATTACCGCAACCTGTTAACCGAATCGCAAGGAATCGACACATGGTTATCACCACTCATTCTTCTATTGAAACGTGCTCGTTTACCACTTTATATCAAGTGGGAATCCCATCATGCAATTGGAGTTCATAAATATATCTTCTTCTAACTAGTAAGAGGGGTACACATTGAGGTTGGGCGACTTAGGGGTATGATTTTCTAATGCAATTAATATGATATACAATATGTTTTCATTGAAAGAAAATATGAGAATTACATATCGCAAGTTACCAAATAATCCAGCAACTTATTTTTTTAATTAAAATAAACAACACAAGAATTTGAGGCTATTTGGTAATAAATTGATTGAAAATTTTACTAAGAAATTAGAGTAAAAATAGACCAACATACAAATAGAATTAAATTTCATAAATTAGACTTTTAAATTTTTATCAAAATCAGGGAGAATTAAACAATTCAATATCAAATTATGTAGTTGAAATGTAATAAAGATTGAATTTACTAAAGTAAGAAAAACCATGCCTCATGCTGGTACAAGGTCAGGATTTTTTCTAGAATTAGGTAGTTCGACTTGTATTACTTAAAAGAATTATATATCCAGCTTACGCCTAGCCTTACGGATGAAAAATGCCTCAATACCTAATTGTGCAATTTTAAATCTTGCTTGGGCTAGTAGATAAAGTTGACACATGACCGAAGTTAATTTAAATATAATTTAATCTAAAAAAAGAATTCTCACTTTTAAGTTAAATTCCATAATTGGTTATGGATACACTAGCCAAATTGTCAGCAAAATGAACAAATTGTAAGTAGCACTGCTGTAGTAAATTGCCAACAAATTGTAAATAGCACTGCTATAGTAATCAACTACAGTACTTGCTATAATAACCCACAAGTCTCACATCAAACAACATTGCTCTACAACACAGGTGGAAATGCCACAATTAAAGAAGACCTAGAAGTCATGTCACCTCTATTATTTTGTTTGTTTTCTTTCATTTTTTTTCCTTTTTAACTTTGGGAACATAAAAAACCATTTAATTTCTAACCTTGAAATTTTGTCAATCAAGTAAATTAACTTAAAGTTAGGAAATAAAATACAATCTTTCTCGACTAATATAACCTTTCTAGACCATCATAAATGGTACGTCCTAAAATAAGTTAATTAATACATAAAATAAAATAAAATGAATCAACTAATGTAAAAGAAAACAAATTTCACAAAATTTAGTACTTTATGTGATGCTTTAAGTAGAATATGAAGTTTTCCATCACACAACCATGTACATACAAATATATTGCTGATACGCCACCCTCTTTGTAACAACTCTACACGTTATATTCTTTCGTCCCATAGCAAGGAGAAGTAGACTTCTTTATAGAATTTCTTGATTACGGTGCAACATTGTAACCTCTGCACAATGCATATATGCTAAAAAGTTGAACACACTTAACAATCGTTATTTTGAAATATTTCTTTCAGTGGTAGTGTGATTCTTTCTCACTCTCACTCTTCTTTCTGGAACTATCTGAGTTTGATGATTCTAGCTCCATTCTTGAGCATTCCCTCTTTGCTAAACATCATGAAGGTTGTTGAACGAAAAAGTATTATTCACATTTTTTTATGCTCTAATTGTGACAGTCAAGTTTGAAGGAAATTTTGAGATGGGGGCCATTTCATGACACTGCCACAATCACAAAGATGATTGATATTTAGATATAGCCCAAGTCACACTTTCCCTTCCCCTCTCAACCAGCAAGCCACCTAGTTGTTTTTCAACTATCCAGTACAAAGAATATTAAGTAGTATGCTTCTTTTTGTACTTCTACATGAGTATGCTTCTTTTCGTTCTCCTATAAACACTCAAATATATCTAGTCGACCCATTTCTACTTTATCAGCCTTGTTTTCCCTTCTTTAGCCATCCCAAACACTCATGCAAAGACCAACAAACAATATTCTTTCTCGATATATCATCAAAAAAAAAAAATGATATATATATGTATATGTGTTGATCGGGCATGAATCTCGAAGCAAAATCAAGTTGGAAACTTCGAAAACGAGATCAGAGACTATATGAACTCCGATTTCGGCAAACTTACAGTCGAACTGAACGTATCAAAAATACATACCCAACGACACCAAATTTGGCTCAATCTGAGCCCAAATGAGTCCAAATTAAAGACCCAAAGTGCATTTGGAA